ATGGAAAAAATGATAAAGCAGCATATTGTTTTAAAGCCAGAAATATTTTTGTAAGGAATTTTACCCGAAAAATATAGTAAGGGAAATGCATATTTAATTATTCATATATTAATTGCAGCTAGAATTGTATTTGCACAAAACTGGACAAGTGAAGAGATCCCCACAGATGAGAATGTGATCAGGAAAATATTAGAGTGTGCAGAAATGAATAGACTAATGCTTGCAATTAAGGAGAAAGAGCAAACTGAATATTATATTCCTAACAAGACAGGAAGCAGCAGATGAAGATAGGCAGAATCACATCAGATACCTGTACACTTAGCACAGCTCTTCCCCCAAGGCTGTGTGCTCTCTCCACTTCTCCCTATATATCAATGACTGCATCTCAAATGATCCATCTTTTAAACTTCTGAAGTTTGCAGATAATACAACAGTCATTGGTCTCATTTGGAATAAGTGTAATATAGGCTTCTGACCATGATTTAGATATCTTTTTCTTTAACATAACTTCATTCATAACTTCTAGCAATGGAAGATTCAACGATTCTTGTAATGTTTTGTAAAATTCTGCCGGAAGTCCATCTGGGCCTGATGCCTTTCCATTATTTTGCTTCTTGAGTGCTTCAGTTAACTCCATCATCGTTATATTGCTTTCTAACATTGTTTCAGTCTCTTTAGGTATCTGAGGTAAATTAGCATTCTGTAAATACTGTTTAACTCTTTCCTCATCAATATTCTCTTGCATATATAATTTCCCATAGAAGTCTCAAATGATTTCCTTCTCTTTACTACCATAGCAAACTTGGCCTTGGTCGTCTATTAATTGCAATATTTTCCTTGATTCTTTCTCCTTTCTCAATTTGTACGCTACCCATCTACCTGGTTTGTTTGCGTCTTCAAATACTTCTGTTTAGCACCTCTAATTTTCTGTGCTAATTCTTCTTTTTCTATTTGACCCATTTTATGTTTAATTATATCCATTTTTAGCTTGATGTCCTTTTTCTGTGGCATTTTCTGTAATTCTTTTTCAAGTCTTTTATACATCCTCTAAGGTCTTAGAGGCTAATCTTTTCATAGTATTTCTTTTCCTTGTATAGTCTATTATCAAGCCTCTAGTATTATTTAACGTCCATCTAGATCTTCCTTTTTGTCCTTTCCATTTAATTGTCATTGGATTGTGATCTGCCCAAGTACTTGTTTCAATATTTATTTCTTGAATATTAGCTATTAATTCTGTTGACATCCATATCATATCTATTCTGGACCATGATAGGTGTATATTTGAATAGAAGGTGTATTGTTTAGTTTTAGCATTTCTTTCTCTCCATGTATCTTTTAAGTTTATTTCATCTACCATTTTAAAAAAAGATTTAGGGAGAGTCTTTCTGTTTTGCTTTATTGTTTTCTGTGCTGTATGGTCCAATTTATTGTCTACAATTCCATTAAAATCTCCCATCATAACTATATTAGCATAGTCCAGTTCAATTATTTTCATATGTAATTTTTTGTAGAATTCTTCTTGCTTGTCATTCGGAGCATAGATTGCAATCAGGAGTGTTTTTGTATTATTGTCCATTATTTCCACCATTAGTATTCTTCCATCATCATCGGTATAGATCAATTTCGCTGGGATAATATCTTTAATGTATAAAACCACTCCTCTTTTCTTGCATTGTGTCAAAGAAGTAAATATTTCCCCTAGTTTTGGCTGTATCAACAATTGTTCATATTTTTTAATATGTACTTCTTGTAGACAAATTATATCAAATTTTAATTTCTCTAATTTATGAAAGGTTTTCCTTCTTTTAACAGCTGAGTTAAGTCCATTTATATTAATTGTAATCAATTTTTTCTCTTCCATGGTTATATTTTGTAGTTAGGTTTAGCAGCTCTTGTAGATCTTAGTTCACGTTGTTCTTTAGCTTCCACCTTTCCACCAACTGCACCTTCTTCTTTTTCAATCGCCATTTGGCAGTCCTCTTGGAATTCAATTAGTGAGATTTCTTTTTCTGCCTCTTTCTCTTTCCCTCCAAAAAATTCTGTATAAAATAATTCCGCTTTCTCAATTGAGTCAATTCTATGTCTCTGTTCTTACCATGTGAATATTAAACCTTCTGGAATCAGCCATCTATAATTCACCTCTGTTTTAAGTAGCATTTTAGTCAGGAATCGGTATTCTCATCTCTCTCACTCTTCTGGGTATTTGTTTCAAGACCACAATCTCCTTGTCTTTGTATTTCAGTGTTTTCTCTCTTGCCACTTGCAATATTTGCGTTTTAATGGCTTTCTTTGTAAATCTAATGTGAACTTCTCTTGGTAAGCTATTTCTCATCACATATCTTGTGAAAACTCGATAAACCTCATCTATTACATCCATCATCTTCTCTTGAGTTATTTCCAAAGCTTCAGCCAGTATTTCTATCATTATCTCAGCTAAGTTTTGTCCTTTTTCTTCCTCTACGTTTTGGAATCTGATAGAATTCTGATCTATCCATCTCCCATCTCAACATACCACTTTTATCTTGTTCAACCACCGTTAATCTATTATCAATATCTCCAATCTTCTTGTCTCTTTGTTTATCTTCTTCAATTTTTTGGAATCTCTCATCATACTTCAACATCATTTGTTGGATGTTCTCCACTTTTTCATTGGTTTTCCCTGTTCTTTGTTCAATGTTCTCTGTTCTTTGTTCAATGTTCTCTATTCTCTTTTCAATATTCTCTGATCTTGCTTGAATATTTTGAATTCCTTGCATAATCATCTGCAGAGTCACTTTTTCTTGTTCTTTTTCTTGCTTTAACATTGTCTGTATTGAACATTGTCCTCCAGATGGGGAGAGGAAGAAGTAGAAGTTGAAGAACCAGGAGCTGTAAATTTCCTACTCATTTTAAGCAATTTAAAATCTTCAGGTTCTTCTAAACCTTAATCCAATTGTGAAGTAACCAATTATAGTTCAAAATAAAAATAGTAGAAAAAAGAAGCCCAATAATAATGATAAAAAAAGAAAAGACAAAATTTCTTCAGGTTCTTGTATACCTTAATCCAATCAGTAGTTAGATGAAGAAAAAGGCTTGAAAAAAAAAAGGAAAAGGAAAAATTCTTCAGGTTCTTCAACACCTTAATCCAATTGAAAGGTCTCAAATAGAAAAGAGTGCATAAGAATAAACCAGAAAGGTAGATGAAAAAACAAAAATACCAGGAAAGGGGGGGGGGGAAAGGCTATTTCCTTTAAAAAAAACATTAATACTAAAGCTTTCCCTTTAAAATAATAAGCAAACGTAGAGATTGGACTTCCAAAGAAAAAAAGAAAAAGAAAGACAAGCTCCAACGAAGCCAAAAACCCAAATAGTTATTACAAAAAAAAAAAGATAAAATGAAATACAATAAAGCTGGTGAAGAGGGATAGCACAACTTCGAAAAAGTAAAAAGAGCACACTGCACTTTGTTTAATTATCCAAGGCTCTTATTATAGCTCTCTTCTCCAAAAACTTATCACCTTTTCCCCCCTAGATTTCAACACCAGACTCCAGCTGTTGATAGAAACCCAGAAGAGCACCTGCAATAATACTCTCCCATGCTCTTCCCTCTATCTTATCAAATAGCAATGTCCTTGAAAAAGAGTTTCAGTTCTTTCTTTCTCAGCTTTGTCTTGTCACAGGGAAATAGAATATTTTCAAACCTCTAGTTGGGCCTTTTTATGTACCCTGAAAGCATATGCACCAAGACAAATTCCTTGTGTGCCTAATCATACTTGGCCAATAAAGAATTCATTCATTCTTTCATCCATATGACCTGGGATTTATTTTATCAATGGTTAAATAACAAAAATGGAAGTTAGAAATAGCAAAACAAAAGATTAGTGAAATAAAGAAGATGTGTTGAGAGAGAGAAGTAAATATTATGATTAATATGTTGAATATTATTCTTTTAATATTGTAGAATTAATACTGATGTAATGAATATTGCCGTAAATTTTGATTACTATTTTACAAAGATATTTGTACCCGGATGACACACTGTTCAATTTAAGATGGAATTACTATATTCAAAAATTAAAAAAGGAAATGGTTGCACTATTTAAAAAAAAGGAAATGGTTGCACTACTCCCATCCCAACCCTGCCAGAGATTGTCCACCAGTGTGACCAAAACTGTCTCTGTACCAGAGCCAATCCTGACTGAAAGGAATCCAGGAAATTTGTTTTGTCCAGGACCCCCAGAGCTGTCAAGCAATCACGTTTTCTACCACCTTCCCCAAAAAAGAGAATATGGGAAACTATAAAAATTGTCCAAGCAGATTGGTTCAAGTGATTGGTTTTTTTAAAGAAAGGACAAGCCAGAACGTCCTTAAAATGTCCTGGGAATGTTTCTTCTTGCAATGAGAATTTTTACTGCATGAACCCATCTGCTGGTCACCGTCCTGCAGCCTTTCACCAGCCAGGAGGACAAGAGTCTAATTGACTGGTGGTTGCACTAACAGTACAGAGGATCATATGGAGAATGGTCGCAGGAATTGGGTATATCTAGTTTAATGAAAAGAAGCACTAAGAGTGACATAAACAGCAGTGTTCCAACACCTAAGGAGCTGCCACAAAGACGATGAGTCAATCTATTTTCCAAAGTCCCAGAAGGCAAGGCAAGAAATAATGGATGGAAACTAATCAAAGGGGAACCCAATCTATAACTAAGGAGAAAATTCCTGACAGTGAAAACAATCAATGTAATTAAGTTGTGGATGCTCCAAAATGGAAGTTTTTAAGAAGGGATTGGACAACCATTTATTTGAAATGGTATAGGGTCTCCTGCTTGAGCAAGGGGGGTTGAACTAGCAGACTTTCAAGGTCCCTTCCAACTCTCTTATTCTGTTATGCTGTTACATGAACTCATTAGCTATACCTGGGGCTTCAGTCACGCTGAAATGTTCCTTTGATAAGCTTCTGATGTAAAGTACAAGATCTTTGTAGCTTTTCTTCTAAACTACATTATCTTTGTTTCATTTAGGAGTTTCTTCATTACCTAATAGGTACTATTCTGCTTCTTATTGCATCCATTGTGGCAGTTGCAAAAAGCTCCAATTCAGCAGGCCTGGTAGCTGGAGCGGTGAGGCTATTTGCCATTTTTTTGTTATATATAAGCAACTTTATTTATCAGACCTTAAATATACATTTCAGGGTTTTTTCCCATAATAAGCACACTAAAAGAAAAGAGTGTCCGTATATTCAAGTGTACATATTGATTGAGGATTGGGTATGTGAGATCTTTAAAAATACTGGCAAGGATATTTAACATCGCTTTTTCCCACTACTGCTATAACCCTCCATTATCAAAATCTACACTACATAATTATTAGGCAAGTTGTATTTTGGAGGATTAATTTTATTATTGAATAATAATTGTGCTCTTAATCAATCCAAAATGTTAATAAACCTCAAACCTGATTATTTAAAAAAGTGAAAGTGAGTTTTGGCTTTCTTAGGAGAATATCTATGTGTGCACAATTATTGGGTAACTATTAGTGTGAAGAATTATTATGCAACTAAATGAAAAACAAAAATTTGCCCATCACACTTATTTATTGGCATCTGTGAGAATAATAAACAACTCAAAATGTACAAATAAACATTTCTGATATTTCAAAAAAAAAAATCAATGACCAATATAGTTATCCTCTGATAAACTGAAAGACAAAAAGGACAAGTATAAAAAATGGAAAGAAGGACATATATCTAAGGTAGAATATCAGCAAACAGTCAGAATCTGCGAAGGCTCAGAATGAACAAAGACTTGCAACAAAAATCAAAGATAATTTTTAAAAAGTTTCTTTCAATATATAAATAACAAGAAAAAAAATCAATGAGTCAATCCACTAAAGAGAGAACACAGCAAGGAAATAACAGGCAGCAGAGAGAAAGCAGAGCTGCTTAACTCATTCTTTCCATTGTTCTTCATGCAAAAAGAAACTACCGTATTTGCCGGCGTATAAGACGACTTTTTTGCCCTGAAAAACATGCCTCCAAGTGGGGGGGTCGTCTTATACGCCGGCAAATACGTTGTTGTCACTCGGTGAAAGAGCAACAGGGGCGGAGCTTCGCAACTTGCGAAGCCCCTTCAAGCCCAGCCGGAGTCTCTCTTTTGGCAAGTCTCGGGGTAGGAAGAGATAGCCGGAATTACCCTCCACCCACCCACCCACCCACACACAGAGAGAGAGAGGGGGGGAGAGTTGGCAGCTGTCCATCCCCCACCCTTGGAGTCCCGATGGCGCGCACGCAGGGGCTGCTTAAGGGAGGAGGCCTTTCACTTTCCCCCGGGGGGAGGGGGCAGGCGCGTCACTTTCACTTGCAGGCAGCAGCGCGGCCTCTCCTTTCCCACCCACCCACTCCGCTCGTGCGAGCGGACCGGCAGGCTCCAGGCTTTGCCCCCATCCCTCACCTCCTTCCACCCCCCTCCACCCCCCGTAGCAGAAACTTCGCCGCACGTGGGGACGAGTGGAGGGGGTGGGAGAGCAGCGACGCCGCTCAAAGCTGAGAAAGCGCCATCCTTGCTTTTGCGCTTCGGGAAGAGTTCGTGTTTTTTGTTTTTTTTGTTTTTCTCCCAGGAATGGGATGCTGCTCGTGCGATTTTCTTTGGGAAGTTTTCTCTTCCCGGTTTCAGCCTTTGCTCCGAATCCTCCCCCCCCCCGCCACCCCCAGATTCACTTCTGGAAAGGATGCTTGTGTAACTCTTTTCCTAAGTGTTGCTGGGGTGGAGGGGGGGGCAGTGTGCAGCGTGAGCGAGAGGCTCCTTTCCTTTCTCCCTGAGCGCAAAACCGTCTGCCTTCTTCTCTCTTGGACGGACCGAGCAAGGCTAATAAGATAATAATAAGATAAGATCCTAAGCGCGTTGTGGAAACAGATCTGGATCTCGTTGGAGAAAGGTAGCAAATGAATGAACTGGACTTTTGGCAAGTCTCGGGGTAGGAACTCGAGGCTTTCTGGAAAGTTAGTGAGCAGGAAAATAGACATCCTTTCCGCTTTCTCCCAGCGTGGGTATTTCATTATCCCTCCCTGTAAGAAGTAACAACCACAAAGCCAAGGGAAAAAACGATGCGCAGGAAAAAGCCACAGTAGGAAGTAAAGATTTCTCCCCCCCCCAACCCTCTCTCTCTGAAATAATTAATGTCGCAATCAGTGTGGTGCACCCTTGGAGACAAATTGGTTGGGGAGGTGGAAAGATATTAAGAAACAACTCGACTGGGCGTATAAGACGAGCCCCACAACTTTTTTGCCCTGAAAAACATGCCTCCAAGTGGGGGAGTCGTCTTATACGGCGAGTATATAACAAACTCTATATTTTGAGTGGAAATGTTGGGGGCTCGTCTTATACGCCCAGTCGTCTTATACGCCGGCAAATACGGTAGCCCAACTGATCAAAAACGTAACTGTAACTAGAAATAAAAATAAAAATTAGCAAAATAATGGTAAGAGAACACCTGTCTGATCTTGATGAATATAAATCACCAGGACCTGATGGATTGCATCCAAGAGTTTTAAAGAAGTTGGCAGATTTCATCTCACAACCACTGTAACATATCTTTCAAAGATCCTGGAGCACCAGGAAACTACTGTAGCAGAGGACTGGAAAAGAGCTGATGTGGTTCTGATCATCAAAAAAAAGGGGGGGGGGAATGGACAGACCCAGGAAACCCCAGACCAATCAGCCTAACATCTATACCTGGGAAGATACTGGAAAAAGTAATAAAAAAACAGATCTGTGAACATCTAGAAATGAGTGAAGTAATAACTAGAAATTGGCACGGGTTTGTTAAAAGTAGATCATGCCAAACCAATCTTATTTCATTCTTCAACATAGTGATTAAATTAGTTAAGCAGCGAAATGCTATAGACATAATATACTTAAACTTCAGCAAGGCATTCAACAAGCTAGACCACAACCTACCTCTTGGTAAGCTAGAAAAAAGTGGGATAGATAGCATCACCATCAAATGGATTTGTAACTAGCTGGGAAACTACTCCATGAGCAGTCCTTAATGGTAGTACGTTTGTTTATTTATTTATTTATTTATTTTTTTATTTGATTTGATTTGATTTGATTTGATTTGTCAATTGCTTACAAGAAAATAGGTATAAGTATAAACATGAGTAAGAATACAGGAAATAGGTATGAATAAATGGGGACAATAGGACAGGGATGGTAGGCACGATTGTGCACTTACACACGCCCCTTACAGACCTCTTAGGAATGGGGTGAGGTCAATAGTGGATAATTTGAGGTTAAAGGAGTGGGGGTCATTAGAGGATGTAATATCAGAGTCAGGTAGTGCATTCCATGCATTGACCATTCTGTTTCTACTTTCTGCAATCAAGTTTGGAGTGGTTTACATTGAGTTTGTATCTGTTATGTCCTCTTGTATTGTTGCGGTTGAAGCTGAAGTAGTCATTGAGTGGTGGGACATTGTAGCAGATAATTTTGTGTACCATGCTTAAGTCCAACCGTAGGCAGCGTAGTTCAAGGTTGTCCAAGTCCAAAATTTCAAGCCTGGTGATATAGGGTATTGTGTTGCAAGCAGAGGAGTATAGTACTCTTCTTGTGAAATACTTCTGGACTTGCTCAATTTTATTAATGTCCGATATACAGTGCAGATTCCAGACTGATGAGCTGTATTCAAGTATTGGTCAAGCAAAAGTTTTGTATGCTCTAGTTAGCAATTCAATATTTCTGGAGGAGAAGCTTTGTAAGATTAGATTTACAACTGTTAATGCCTTTTTGGCAATGCTGTTACAGTGAGCTCTGATGCTGAGGTCATTTGACATGAATACTCCAAGGTCCTTGACAGAATAAGGATTGTCAACGAAGTCATATCTGCCTAGCTTGTATTTGTGTACTGATTTTTTTTACCAATGTGTAGGACAACATTTGTTGGTTGAGATTTGGAGTTGGCAGTTGTTTGACCATTCAGACACATAATCAATGTCATTTTGAAGGACAGTAGCATTGTCGGTGTTGAATAGTTTTATGTCATCTGTGAAGAGGACACAGTTGCTTATAAGATGATCGCAAAGGTCATTTATATAGAGTATAAAGAGTGTGGATCCTAGAATGTTGCCTTGGGGGACACCACTGTTAGCTGGAGCAGGGTTTGATATAGCGCTCCCTATATTTACTATTTGTTGTCTGTTTGACAGAAACGTAGTAATCCACTTATGAAGGGATCCGGAAATACCATAAGAGTTTAGTTTTAACAGTAGTTTGTCATGTATCACTGAATCAAAGGCTTTGCAGAAGTCTATGTAAATTGCATCTATTGTTTTACTCTGGTCAAGTAGAATAGTCTATATGTTTTTGCAGTGTGGGAATTGTAAATTGCAGGACAATTTTTTCCTGAAACCAAATTGTTTTTTGCAGAGTAGGTTGTTTAACTCTAAGTGGAGGGTGATGACTTGGTTAATGATTGATTCCATGACTTTGCACGTGACATAACACAGTGAGATTGGTCTGCAGTTTTCAACCAGGCTGGGGTCACGTTTTCTGAAGATAGGGATGACCATAACTAAGGGCCATAACCAATTAAATATGGTATGAGCCAACAGTGTGCAGTGGCAACCCAAAAAAGCTAATGCAATCCTAAATTGCATTAACAGGGATTTAATCAAGATATATGAAGTACTAAGACCATTCTCTAAAGCCTTAGTAAGACCACACCTAGAATACTGCATCCCGCTTTGGTTACCGCACTGTAAAAAAGATGTTGAGACTCTAGAAAAAGTGCAGAGAAGAGCAGCCAGGATGATTAGGGGATTTGAGACTAAAACATATGAAGAATGGTTACAGGAACTGGATATGTCTAGTCTAGTGAAGACAAGTATCAGGTAGACATGATATCAGTGTTCCAATATTTGAGGGGCTGCCATAGAGAGGAGGGGGTCAGCCTATTTTCCAAAGCACCTGAAAGCCAGACAAGGAATAATGGGTGGAAACTGATCAAGGAGATAGTCCAACTAGAAATAAAGAAAAAATTTCTGACAGTGAAAACAATCAACCAATGGAACAGCTTGCCTTCAGAAGTTGTGGGAGCTTCATCACCGGAAGCTTTCAAGTAGAGACTGGTCTGTCAGAAATGGTGTAGGTCTCCTGCTTGGGTGGGGGGTTGGACTAGATGACCTACCACATCCCTTCCAACTCTGTTATTCTGTTATTCTTTCTTTTCAGCAACAGTCATAAGCCTTCCATTTATGGAGTCTTGTCAGTTTCTTGATCTGTTAACTATCAACGTTTTGTGCTGCAGCAACCATCCACTCCCAGACACTGTTCAGAGAGGTGTACCATTTTCCTTCACCATAAATCTCCCATTTAAGAAGGTCCCACAAGTTCTCAATAGGATTTAGGTCAGATGAAGAAGGGGGCCATGTCATTATTATTTCATCTTTAAGGCTTTTTATTGGCTGGCCACTCAGTGGAGTACTTCAATGGATGCAATAGCATTGTCCTGCATAAAAATCATGGTCCTCTTGAAAGATGGAGACTTTTTCCAGTATCACTGCTTGAAGAAAATGTCTATATGGGCGTTGATTTTGAGTCCATCTTCAACTCGAAAAAAATCCAACTAGCTCATCTTTAATAATAGCAGTCTATACCAGTGCCCCATCTTCATCTTGCTGGCATCTAAGTCGAAATGAAGCTCTGTACCCATTACTGATCCAGCCTGGGGCTCATCCATCTGGTCTATCAAGAGTCAATTCTCATCTCATCAGTCCCTAATAGCAATAGCACTTATATACTACTTCACAGTTCTTTACACCCCTCTCTAAGCAATTTACAGAGTCAGCATATTTCCCCCAACAATCTGGGCCCTCATTTTACCAACCTCAGAAGGATGGAAGACTGGGTCAACCTTGAATGTGGTGAGATTCGAACTGCCAAATTTCAGGCAGCTGGCAGAAGTAGCCTGCATTTCTGCATTCTAACCACTGCCCTATAAAACCTTTGAAAAATCTGTCTTCAAATATTTCTTGGCCCAGTCTAGCCATTTCAACTTATGTATCTTGTTCAGTGGTGTTCAGGTTTCAGCCTTCCTTACCTTGTCTCTGAACTCCTTGTACTTCTGGGTACTCTATGTAGATTGCAGCTCTGGAATATGATAGCACTGTAGGATAATGGATTCCTGGTAGCTTCACATTTGTCTCAAATATTTGGCAGTTAATGTGTGTCTTTTTTCACAACACATTTCTTGTGACCCCATTGATTTTTTGCAACAAAAGGTTTGATGGGTCTGTGATCATGCTCCAATATCTTAGCAACTTCAAGAGTGGTGCATCCCTTTGAAAGACTTTACACTTTTTGACTTTTCAGAGTCAGTTAAATTTTGGCCCATTTTGCCTAAGGAAGAGAAGCTGCCTAATAATTATGCACACCTTGATATAGGATGTTGATCTAATTTGGCCACACCCTCCCTCATTACACAAATACACATCACTTGATATGCTTATATCCACTAAGCATTTGAGTTTATACAGCTTAGTAGTGGAAAATACGCATACAAATGATGATATGATCAAAATACTCACTTGCCTAATAATTGTGCAGTCAATGTATCTCTTTATTGTGTTACTTTTACAGAAATTATAATAACTAAGCAAGCAATTATTCTAGTTATATGCTGTAGGTTGAGGAAAGTTATATTAAGTTCAGTGGAATCTGCACAAGAATTCCAAATAGATTGTTTCACATTGCTGGCTTTATACTATAGTATACAGCACATTGGGCTATAATTTTGGCCCAAATTAAATAATGGCATTCTTTAAAACTCCATTCTGTTACCAGATTCTGCAATAATGTACATGTTTCTGAAGTCATGAATATTTCAAAATTCTGAGTCACAGCTATTTATGGCTTGGTCTTTTACCTAATATTGCAGAGTGCATGCAATACTCATAAAACAGCTAAGTTGAACTCTAAACTTAATGTTTAATGAATCAGCTTGCTGAATGCATGCTAAATAATTATTGATACTAGACACATTTTAAAAACAGACGTACAACTTTTTGCTTTAGTTGTTGAGCAGCCTATTACAGGGCTCTCATGCCCTCAATTTCAATCTCATTGTAGATAATGGAAACAGATTAATAGAAACAAATTTCTCTCTTGTCTTCTCAAATTAAATCAAATCAACTTTTATTATCAGAGTACAACATGTGTACAATGAGATTGGCTGAGTCTCCCATCCCTTTTGATCATTATCTTTTCATTACAATTCATTACAATTATACTAAAATGCATTCTCCCATGCTTTACATGGAAGAAGAAAGAAAATCTGTCTTGGAAAGGTGATAGTGGACAAAACTCACTTTCCAATTACTACTGTACTTAAAATCATTTGTTACAAATTGCAAACAGTGATTTGCAAGCAGATTTCTGCTGGTTGGAATACAGGGGAGTGGGAGGACAAAAAGGTATGCATTTGACAATACATTCAGTAAATGTATATTTGGGTATTTATTACTAATCTCCGATCACGATACATTCTTTGAAATGTCAAAGACTGTTTAATATTATTTAAAATCTATAGAAACTTAATGTAAGGTATTTTTATGTATGGCTCCTTTGCTGATGCTTTTTTTAAAAATAGGTCTTCGGATTCTTAGCTACATTTATGTGCTTCCTAAGTATATGGCTCTCTTACAAAGTTTCTTGTAACACTCAGTCAGCAGGTAAGATCTCGATCAATCAGTTTGACCAACCAGCTCTGTGTTGTCCATTTTCCTTGCATTATTTAGTCCACAGACAGATCCATTACATTATTTTTTCAGACTATAATCTATTTATGTTTATTATTTAATCTGAAGAACGATGGGAAATTGATAGTGATCTGTTCCACTTATTTACTTGTTAGATATATAGAGCAAATGAAAATGACCTGTTCTTTGCTCAGGCAGCTAAGAGTAGCATGCACAATATTTTCACTTTCAATTTTATCCCTAAAACAATCTAATGGGAAATATTGAGCTAAAAGAAAATGACATTCTCTTTTCTCACTACAATTCTAGGAAGAATCTTGTGTCCAACTGTGCGAGGAAGTCATATTCAGATTTGAATTTTGTTACATATTTAAATCCATCCACTTCCATGATGATTATGTGTGACATGAATCTGGGCTTCTTAAATTCTGCTTTGGATTCTAACTATTATTCCAGTTTTGCTCTTGAAATAATATTCAATGAAGAAAGAAATTATTTGGGAATTTTACAAATATCTTCATTGATGATTTGGCCTGTATAGAGAATAGCCAGAAATACGATTATACTAACTATACTCTGGCAGTGCTATTGCAAATTGTTCTGGTCCTAAGAAATTTGTTCTTATTTCCTTCTGCTCTGTGCAGAATTCTGCAACTTATTTGTACATACAAAATTTATGAAACAAGACCGAAATAGGCCCTCTATGTTTGATGGCGGTAGAATTCACTAATTAACCATATCGCCAAGCAATGTATACTTTATTTGTTGGTTGTTCAAAACATTTGCAGTTTCTTCACTGATCTCCTTTACGTTAAGATTTTTTTGACCGTCCAGGTCAAAACGTTAAGATTTTTTATGTTAAGATTTTTTTTTCCCATCTGGCATGGAGAGTTGGGAAATATTGTCCATATTTCAGTAAGTGTTTATTATTATAGTAAGTGTTTATTAAGCCCTTAGAAAAATAATGTAAAAGGGTCAATTAAAATATGTTTACATATCAGTTGCTTTGAGCCAGGACAAGTGCTCTTAAAAAAATTTATTTTAAAAAATGATTTAATCATTTCAGGTGCAGCGTATCACTTTTCTATCACATATTTATGGGCTCATCACTCACCAGATTTTAACCCAGGCAAAATTCATATTTGGCTGGTTATCTTGTCTCCATCCCGGATTTGATGGAAGGCATCTATGCTACTCTAAAGTTTTGCTATTTGAGATATTTTGGAAACCTTAAATGTAATGATTACCATTAAAAATACAGTAAATTGATTTTAGTCTTTCCTCTCCTATTTTTAGATGCTACCATGTGAGTATTTTTCTACTTCAAAATGTGCACACCTGCTGAGGGAAGAGCTTAGAAAAACATGCATGATGGAATGGTATACTGAGATCCAGTAATCTGACTTCAGTGACTGAAAAACATTCTTACTGGACATAGAGTGCCATCTTCTGGCAGTTTTCATCTATTCCTGAGGTGACTGTACAGCAGCCTGCTTCATCTGGTCAAATTTTTGGATTCTGGGAGACAAGAAGGGCTGCAGTAAAAGATCCTGTGGGAAGGAAAGGGTCTGTCTTTTAAACAAAGAGAAATGATCCTCTTTTAATTCCAGCTGCCAATATTTCATGCATTGTAGACCATTTCTTTATGGCCTAGACCACTAAGGAGAGTCCAAATTTAAAAAAATCAAGATGGAAAATATATCCTGCATCAATCCAGCTATGACTGACAAAAGTTGGAAACATTCACCATGAACCAACAACCGCTGGATCAGAAATCATTTTCTTACCTCTCTGCATCTCATCATCTTGAAATTGTTCTTAAAATTGGTGTCTCATTTAACCTGCTTTGAATATGAGTTTGCTTTAATAAGATGGTTTAAGATGGTTCCACCCCAATTTTTTTATTATGCTACCCATAATGAATTCCATTTTTAGGGCAAACTTTTAAATATTCTTGTTCAACCATACAGCTTAAATGTTATATTCTTTTGATTTCTTTTTGGGGGGGCTTTTATTTCTCTTGCCATGTATTTTTATTATATTTCTTATAACTATATGCCTATCAATAGAAGATCCATTAAGAATGAAGAATGTTTATTAAAAATCCACTGCATTCTACTATTTCTTTTACATATTGTGATACATTACAATAATTTACACTTATTACTAACGTACATGGAAAATACAATTCTTTGTAATGATCTACAGAAGCACTATCAAATTATCTACAATGGGTAAAAATAATAATTCAATACATATTAATGGGGAGAATGAAAAATAGCTATGTTGATTTATTTTTCAATACTACTATGCATTTATAAATGAATGCTAAGGGAAATTTCTACTATACCTATTCTAAAGAAAGTAACTCTTCTACAAAATACAATTTTACCAAGGATTTTTAAAAATAATAAGAGTTTTCCCTATGCAGTCATGTCCAGTTCTGGTGAATGGTGCTCATCTCTGTTTCTTAGCCAAGGAAGCTAGTATAGTTTGAAGATTCTTCCATGGTCATATGGCCGCCATGACTATATGCTGAGGCACACAGAATGCTGTTACCTTCCCACTGAAGTGGTACTTTTTTATCTATACATATTTGCAAGCTTTCAAACTGCTAGATGTGTAGGAGGTAGGGCAAGTAATGGGAGCTCAGCCCCTCAAATGGTGCTACTGGACTATTACATGAGCGCATAAATGAGTATCCCTGGCATTAGAATGCATAGATAAATTTATTTATTTTCTTTTTCTAATGATGAAATGCTTTAGCTTTAGAATAGAACAGTATATGTGAAAGACTGGGTAAATAGAAGTCTACAATATGCTGGGAACAATTTTTCAGTAGATATTAGCTGTACAAAATAAAGAGAGCAATACATGAAAAAAGAGCCACACATAAAACAACAACTGCCTGTGAGAACAGAAACAACTTTCCACTCTTCCAGCTTAAAAGGGCTTGCCCAGCCTCAAGCCTTGGAGGAAGAATTATTTAGAGAATGGTTAAAGGCAGGCAAGGTGGGGTCCATTTGAATATCCATGGGATGATATTCCAAACTTGGGTGCAGCACAACAAGGTCCCTGGGGCAGTCTTGTCCAAACCCAAGGAATTGCATCCAAAGTAAACTTGAAAACTTTATAAAGAATTAGTTCTAAGATATCTCAGCTCAAAACTTATACAGAATTTGTTAATGATATTGTAGGAAGTTAGCACCCATCCCTCTCCTAGAAAAATGAAATATTCTAGGAAATATTAAAAAGGCAGAATATTTCCCCATGAAGGAGTAGAAACTCAGAAGCAGAAACTCACCAAAGAGGCAGAAACTCAGCCCCCCCACCTTTACTAATGGACCATTACTCTGGCCTGGGCCAGCCTATTTTATATAACAAAGATTTCCAGGTAGACCTATAGGAATTGCTCAAAGCCCTTTCATTACATCATCATCCAGCAAGGCTCAACCAAGCCTGGGACTCAAGACAGCCTACAGCAGGGGTCGCCAACCTTTCGGACATCAGGGACCACCAAACTCAATTTTAAATCCCAGGGACCACTAATGTGAATTTTGACTGATGGTAGCTTGCTGATGTTGGTGGGAGAGAGAGAGAGAGTTGATCTAATCTCTCCCCCCCCATCTCCCTCTATATCTCTCTCTCACACACACACACAAAGAGGCAGGGATGGGATTCAAATTTCTTAATCGGTTTTGTGGGTGTGGCCTAATTTGTGGGTGTGGCTTGGTGGGCATGGCTTGTATGTAAATTTTATAAATATTTATGTAAATATTGAAATTTTTATTAAAAAAACAACAACTTTTACCCAAAATCAGGCAAAGCAGGCAGGCAGATTGAGTTGCTCACAGAATCACAGATTCGTTCAAAGATCTGCCATCGGCTATCTGAGTCTGCACTGACAAATAGAAGCTTCAGTCCTAAGGAAGGTTCAGCTCTGCTTAAAAGCAGAGTCGAAGATCTAAAGATTAGATAGAAAGCAAGAAATCCAATGGTTTCCTGCTTTCTAGCTAATCTAAATCTCTCCACACAGCAGGACAGCTGATGTTTGGGGGAGGGGAAGGAAAAAATAGCAATTTAGCAGGCAAGTTTGCCAGGTAAGGAGTGAGTGGGCGGGGAGGGTTCCCGCAGGCCATGTGGGTGGCTCAGCTTCGTGTTCCTGCGCAGCTTGGATTAATTGCTTTGAGGGGTTCTCTGGGAATGATATTTGTCTGTGGGCCACCAAAATTTTCTTGCGGACTACCAGTAGGCCACGGCCCACCGGTTGGGGACAACTGGCCTACAGAGTTGCCCCTGTATGGCCCCATGGGAGTCTGACAACCAATCAGAATACAAGCTCAAATTCAAATCCCAACAGAGGGTATAAAACCCAGGCACTTACAGCATCTCAGCCCTTCTTTCTTCACTCAAGGCATGTGATCCTATCCACCATTAAACCATCTTTCCAAATAGTCACCATGTTTCCAGTGTCTTTCTTCTCCATTTGGAACTGAACCCAGAAAAATATTTCTTCCAACAATATGACAAACCAGGGATCAGGAATATAGATTATTAATGTTATATCCCAAGAAGAAATTCATGCAGTATTGAATACAAAGCAGTTACATCAAGCAGAATAGCAAAGTAATTATATTCAGGATAGATCTGGCCTATGCAAGCAGCAGATATAAGCAACATTTTAAAAAATGGTAGTGTTTCTTCTGCCTATGAAATGAATTGTCTTGAAGCAGATAAATGTTACATGTCAACATTTCTTTTCTTTGGGTTGGGTCAAATTCACAATTGAGGCTTATTGGCAATGACTGAGAAAATAAAAATGTTTAAATTGCTTAGAATCACTTGCCCCTAGTGCAGAGCCAGGGAAAGAATCTGCAGACTCCCCAGAAAGAAAAGCACAGTAAAGGACAGTAGATGGCAGCAAAACACTAGATGGTTCAGATCCTGGAGAACTGGGTCAAAAGGAGAGAGAATAGCAAACTCTGTAATCTGGGCAGGTAAAAATGAATCTATTTGGGGGAGAAGGGGAGAAACCAGCAGTTAAGAATGTTATAATATCCTAATTCAATTGGGTATTGTTTAAGATACCCCAAAGTGGATGGAAAATGGAATTCATATGTGTTCTGCCAAACAAATTGAGTATAGGGGTATGCAACCTTGTACTGGAGAGATTTGAATCTGATTTTTTACCAACTGAATAAATTTTCAGCAACCTCAATCAGCATGGCCTATGGTGGAATCCTGGAAATTGGTGCCTCAGCAATTTCTGCTAATTACAGCCAGGGACATTTCTATCTTATAGCTTATTTGACACCTGACGTTTCTGTTCACCATTAAAAGCAATGAAATAGAAAGACAAAGCAGCATTGAAGAGCTTGTGCAGAACAGTGTGTTAATTATGTTGGAAAAATACAAGATCTTAACAGGTAAATAGCCTGTAGTGTAATTGTCTACCTATGGCAGCAGCATACAGTATATTGTTTTACAAACAACTCTGAGTTATTTTTAAAAACTTATTAAAATAAAATAGTTTTTAATTAACTCTATAGATTCAAGTTCAAATTAATATCAGTATTGTGGCTGGTTGTTTTAAGACTAGTTTGGTTTAGTGGTTAAAGCTACAAACCAGGCAATTAGTTCTATTCCTCCCTTAAGGCATGGAAGCAGCTGGGTTGTTTTTGGGCCAGTCACCCTTAGCCCATGACAGCAGACTTGGGCAACTAGCCAATAGGTCAATTCCCATTACAATCAAGGATATGATTTTAAAAAATCCATGCTAAGAAGAAAAAAATGTGGCTAGTTGTTTATTCTCAATATTTTTAAAGCAATTCTTTCTGTAGGTTGGAATGATTGTAGGAACTTATGTAGAAAGAAGCATTTTAAGGAATCCAACATTTCTTGCTTTGGGGTTGCAGTTATCTAATACAAAAAAGGTGCAATCTGGAGCTAACTCACTAGTCAATATATTCACTATTAACTCTCTATTCAATAAACATTCTTTTTTATATATTCCACAAAATTACCATGGTTAAAATTGAACTGAGAATAGCTATTACTGGATACCATAAAATTACAATTGAAGAATTTTAATAAAGACCTGAGCTCCAGTGTCCCAGCAGCAAGGCCAGCAGGCAGGATGGGTGGAGACCAGGTTGTGTCGAGAACTTAGTTTGTTGCAGCCACAGGCAAGTAGATGGTGGGACTGAGGGCGGGGCTGGGGTAGCAATGCTCCCACTCCCATCGGCCCGCACATTAACTGCCTCCTGTAGGTGAAAAAAAAATAAGATTTTCCCTCCTGAAACTAAGCCCCAGTGCTTATTTTCAAGCCCAAAAGAAAATAAGACCGGGTCTTATTTTCAGGGAAACACGGATAGCATAGGATAGGAGTTGGAAGGGATCTTGGAGGTCTTCTAGTCCAACCCCTGCTCAGGCAGTGAACCCTACACCATTTCAGATAAATGGTTGTCCAATCTCTTCTTTAAAACTTTCAGTGTTGGAGCAATCACTACTTCTGGAGGCAAGTTGTTCCACTGATAAATTGTTCCAACTCTCAGGAAATTACTTCTTCTAATTCTAGGTTGTTTCTCTCCTTAATTAGTTTCCATCCATTGCTTCTTGTCTTGCCCTCAGGTGCTTTGGAGAATAGCTTGACTCCCTCTTCTTAATGGCAACCCTTGAGATATCAGAACATTGCTATCATGTCATCCCTAGTCCTTCTTTTCATTAAACTAGGCATACCGAGTTCCAGCAACCGTTCTTTATATGTTTTAGCCTCCAGCCCCTAATCAACTTTGTTACTCTTCTCTGCACTCTTTGTAGAGTGTCAATATCTTTTTATAACCTGGTGACCAAAACTGGATGCAGTATTCCAAGTGTGACCTTACTAAGACATTATAAAGTGGTATTAACATTTCACATGATCTTGATTCTGTCTGTGTGTTAATGCAGCCTAGAACTGTGTTGGCTTTTTTGGCAGCTGTAGCACACTGCTGACCCATATTTAAGTGATTGTTCACTAGGACTCCAAGATCTCTCTCACAGTTACTATTATTGAGCAAGGTACTGCCTATACTGAACCTGTGCATTTGATTTTTCTTGCCTTAATGTAGAACCTTACTTTTTTTCACAATTGAATTTCATTTTGTTAGATAGTGCCCACTGTTCAAGCCTGTCAAGATCCTTCTGAATCTTAAGCCTAT